TAGTAAAGTAGGGGAAAAAAAAACCCTTCATGAGTACTGCTGCCGATGTCCCAACACAGAGCCTTACACTAAGTAGGTATTTAACAAACAACAGGCCCTATTTCCTTAGCATTCGAAGGTTTGCAGATTATTTTCTTTATAACAACCCTGTGGGGAAGTTAACACAAGTATTATTATTCCCATTTCACAGATATAAAAATGGAGGCCAGAGAGAATCATGCTAGGCCTTTACAATTCTATATCTGGCCTTCTTTTTACTATACTCCACCACCACACCCCTCCCAAAGTTTTTGGAATTGGATGTCCTGATATCTATTTTATGTTATTTAATACACCTGGCCACTGGCCTGGGAGTCATGAGTTTTAGTTTTGGCTCTTCCACTGAATCTCTGCAAAAGGGACATTAGAAGCCATCCAGGCTAAGTTCCTATTTTATAGATAAGAAATGGAGACGAAGCAGGATTGTCACATCAGCAATAAGAGGCAGAACCAGGATTTGAATCTGGGTTGTTTGACTTAAAATTCTGTGCCCTTTCCACTCTTTTAGTGGGCATGTAGCTGAGGATGAGGCCCAGAATAGTTGGTGCTGGGAGTGGAGGGAGGGATTGAGGGGAGGAATTATCAATGTCTCCACAAACAGGAAAACACAAAGGGACAGAGGAGGGTACCAAAGACACACACCACTGACTTCCCGATTTTGCTGGGGCTGGTCCTGAATAGGATATCACACTTTGCTAAATTAGTTATAATTTTCATTCTCATCAGAACGTATAAAGCAGTGGGGTCCAATGGAAAGCACCTTGACCTTGAAGTCTGAGGATCTATCTTCAAATCTCATTTTTGTCATTTACTGCTCAAGTGACCTTGAACAAGTAACATACCCCACCCCCACCCCCGGGGCCTCAAGTTGCTCATTTGCAAAATGAGGTTGGATTAGATGACCCCTAGAGTCCTTTCATCTCTAAATCCATGATCCTTTGACTAGCTCATTTTTGTCTCTGTATTTCCATCATACAGCACAGCGTTTTGCAAATTTGGAGAGGGGAGGAATGGAGGGAGAAGGGATCCAGATTGTTAATTTCATTGGTATAGAAGAATCCTCATTTGGAAATTTAATCTACACATCCAGATCATTGTTATCTTTCAGCTGTGTCTGACTTTTTGTGACCTCATTTGGGGTTTTCCTGGCAAAGATACTGGAGCGATTTCCATTTCTATCTCCAACTCATTTTACAGATGAGGAAACTGAGGCAAACAGGGTGAAGTGACTTGCCCAGAGTTGCACAGCTAGTAAGTTTCTGAAGCTGGACTTGATCTCAAGAAGATGAGTCTTCCTGACTCCAGGCCTGGCATTCTGTCCTCTACACTGCCTAGCTACTCCACATGTCAAAAATGACAGTATGAGAGAGTTGGCTTAAGGCAGCTAGAGAAAGGTTAAGTAACTTTTCCTGGGCCATACAGTTAGAATGAGTCAGAGGCACAACTTGTGCTTGGGTCTTTCTGGATCCAAGGACAAACCTCTATTCTCTATGAGAGGCCATGCTGCCTCTCACTGTGCACATAATAGAAGCTAAATAAAGGCTTGTTGAATGAACAGACAAACTAACCTAGATGTTCTCTGTTAGATTACTAGGTGGGAGCGTTGCCACATTGCAAGGCAGAAAAAGAGCTCTGGAAGAGAGGTTTCTTGGTGTAACACTTCAGAGAAGCTCCAGAGCCATGATGTTTGGATACAACCAACCGCTAATCATAGGGTTATAGAGGAGCTGAATTGGAAAGAATGTGACCAATAGGCTGTAAGAGCAAGGAGGGACTTTAGAAATATGAAATACATATACATACACATACACACATATATAATATATACATATATACATACACATACATATACATATATACACATATATATACATACACATACACACATATATAATATATACATATATACATACACATATATATATATACATACATATATGTATATATATATATATATATATATATATATATATAGTCAAAACCTTAAAGAATTCTAAAATATAGAAGATTAAAGATGGAAGGAAGCTTAGAGATAAACTATAGAATCTTGACATTTCATATAGGGGGAAAATGAGAAGCAGAGAGGGAGGAAGGAAGGAAGGCAAGCTGGAAAAAAGGAAGGAAGGGAGGGAGGAGGGGTAAAAAAAAAAGGATGCTTTTTTTTTTAAAAGCTAAAATCATCTTATCATACATAACAACCAGTAAATACTTTATATTAGCAATATGATTAAGGGATCTCTGAAGTCATTCCCAGCTGCAAATCCTGTGATCCTATGAAATTTAGGAACCATATCTCATTCATTTCTGTATCTCCCACAGCACCTGGCTCTGTGACCTACATATAATAGGCTTTAAATAAATGCTTACTTAGAGAGTCATACAAAGTTAGAACTGGAAGGTATCATAGAAATCATGTTAGATTTAAAGAATCTAAGGTCAGACAACAAAGTTAGTGACAGAGTTGGTATTAGAACCCAAGTCTTCTGACTCCAAACTGGTTCTCTTCCCTTCAAACTCTGACATTTCTAGAATTTACTCTCATTCTTGCTTCACATTTTCCCATAGGCATGATCTTACCTCTCCAAAGAGACTACATGCTCCTATAGATCAGAGTTTCTACATTATTCTACTATAGGCCATAACCCATTACCCTAAGCTCTGGCTTTAATATATTATTAAGTTAAACCTTACGGACTTTTCAAGAATAATTGTGGGGGAATCACACCCCTATACTTTCCCATCAACTATGTTCCACACCCCAGAACCTCAGATTGCCTCCTTGTGTCCCCATCCATCCAAGGTCTTACATTTAAAATCTTTATAGAGCAGTGATTCTTAAATTTCAGAGGGTCCATGAATCCAGATGGGAAAAATTTACATCTTTCTTTCCAATATAATTGCTTTCCTTGGTATCCAATGTAGTTCATTTTATACATTTAAGATGAGCAGCTAGGTGGTGCAGTAGAGTCCCAGGCTTGGAATCAGGAAGACCTTTGCTCAAATCCAGCCTCAGACACTTATTAGCTATGTGACCCTGGGCAAGTCACTTAACCCTATTTGCCTCAGTTTCCTCATCTATAAAATGAGTTGGAGAAGGAAATGGCAAGCCATACTAGTATCATTGCCTAGAAAACCCCAAATGAGGTAACAAAGAGTTCGACATGACTGAACAACAACAACACGCATTTAAAAATGTTATTCTGAAGAAGGGGTCCACAGGCTTCACCAAACTGCCAAACGAGTCCATGCCACACACACAGAGGCATGCAGTACCAAAAGTTTGACTATAAAAGTAGGTAAAAGGAGCCCCTCAAATTCCATTGCAAGCACTCAAATTTGCATGCAATATATATATAAAATACATCATGGGCATAGGGATGTTCTTTGTGTCATCCCATAGAAAGACTGCAAAAAATATATAGATGATAGATAGATAGATAGATAGATAGATAGATAGATAGATAGATACATAGACAGATAGATAGATAGATAGATAGATAGATAGATAGATAGATAGATAGATAGATAGATAGATACATAGACAGATAGATAGATAGATAGATAGATAGATAGATAGATAGATAGATAGATAGATAGATAGATAGACAGACAGACAGATACAAAGATAGTCAGATAGATAGAGAGACAGACAGACAGACAGACAAAATGCACCACAAAGGACTCATGGCAGATGAAAAATAATAAAGGTAACTCTCCATCCCTTTCTGGTTAGTGTCATCTTACCTCTCAGGGGCCAATAAAGTCCTACAGATTTAGTCACCTCATGACTGAAACTTCCCAGGAAAGAAGTCATATTGGGGCTGCTAGAGTTGGCCTTTCCTGTCCTTAGGATCTGGACACCCAAATAACTCACTAGAGTAATCAAGGCAAAGCTGTAGGTTGCTCATATGCATTGTGGTTCCAGCTACTGGGGATGAGCGCTTCCTCCTTCTAAGTCTAGCACAGCGCTGAGCCCATAGTAAATGCTCATTCTGTTGAAAGCATATGGAAACAGGTCAAGTCCAAAGCTCACATTCAAAATAATTCAACTCAGTAAACAATTTTTAAGCATCCATAAGTGTTTAAGGACATGTGCTGAGTGCTAGGGAAATGATATATGATACAATGGAATGAAATATATATGATACAAAGTCTGCTCTTAAGGAGCTTGCAATCTAATTAGAGATTGTGGAGGTTGTGTTTAGTGCAAAAGAAAGATCCAAGATTCCAAAGGCTGCTTTCAGTTTGGGGTGGGGGGAGGTGAAATCAGGGAAGCATTAATAGAAGAAGTTATATCTGAATTGCTCCTAGAAGGAAGGGGAGAATTGAATAGGTGGAGAAGGGGGAAGAGTAAGAAAATGAAGATGAAATTTTATCAGGCAGAAATTGAGGAGGAGGACAGGAGTCCACTCTAAGTTATTGGGAATAATATAAGCAAAGCTCAGATATGGAAAGTGAGGATGGAGAGTGGAAGGGAGGGCAGAAAGATGGGCTGTGGGGAGTAGTATAGTTAGCTCAGAAGGTGAAATGGATACAGGAAATAGCATGAGAGATGGCTGCAAAGGCAAATTAGAGCCAGGCTGTGGAAGGCTTCAAATGAAAGGATAAAGAGCATATATTTCCTTTAGTAGACAATGGAGAAGCCACTGGAGATGTGCCAGGTTACACAGCTAGTAAAAGGCTAATTCTACTGAAGGGGAGGAATGTTTTAAAAACATCTATTCACATATGAACTAGTATGAAGGGGCATCAGCTGAGGAACAAGGCAACGAGAACAGGGCATAGAGAAAGCTATTAAGTATTTTCAGAAATTAATGTTAGAAATAAATGTGAGCTTTGCACAAAGGCACCTGGGCTGGCAAGAGTCTTTCAGTTTGGATGAAGGACCAAGTATGTAGAGGGATGCAGTGGAAGGTATGACTGGAAATGTCAGTGAGACAGATGGAGTCGAAGGCATTTACCTCTCTGGGGTCAGAAGACATGAAGGTAGATGCACAGGTGCCCACAGCAACATCATCCACCAAGGCCCTTGCTGCTTGTGAGAGCTGCAGGTTCTCAATTCCATGTCTGTGCAGTTCCTGCACCAGCTGGGTGACCAAGTTGTTTCTGTCCTGGCATTTCTGGACCAGGGAAGCCACTTTTGCCTACAGGAACAAAAACAAAAAAAGGATCCTTTGTGGCTATTCAAAGCTCTCATCAAAGCTCAAAAGTCTATGATGTTGGGGCCATATCTGAGAAAAAGTCTAATTCATCTTCACACCAACGTTTCATACATCACATCATAATGTACCTGGTTTACTGGATAGAATGTTGGACTTGGAATCATGAGACCTGAGTTTTAATCATGCCTTAATCATTTATCCCCATGTGATCATGGGAAAATCACAACCTCAGTTTCCTCATCTGTAAAAATGAGTCTAACTGTACTTGTACTCCCTTCTTCATAGGTTAGTTATGAAGAAGGGACCTTGCAACTTTTTAAATGTTATAGAATTGTGAGATTATTTTCAAGTAATGGTGTGTATTCTCCACACTCTCATCTCCTTTTCTACTATTTCACCACCATCACTGCAGAATGGTAATAGGTCCCTTAGGACTGAGGGCTATGTCATATTTTCCTTTGTTTTATGGCTTGTCATGGCCAAAGGATGCATCACCAGGAGGCCAGCCTAATGATAAAAAGCTTCTCTGCACTTAGCTGGACTGGTCCTTGGAAGACAGATTCTGTTTTTTGCCAGGACCATATGTTGCTATACGTCAGTGAGTCATGGCACACTAAAGTATCTAAAGCTTTTAAAATGAGTATAACAGAGAAGGCAAAAGAGAAAGGCACATGGTGAATGCAATCAGGTTGTTAACACATGATAAATAAGGAACCATGAAGATTATCTGAAGGATGACACCAAAGAATTGCACAATTAAAAAAAGAAGATATAACTAGAAATACAAGAGAGCAAAGCAAAAAAAAAAAATAGCCCACGTCTTCCACCGATAAACTCGTGATAGTAAGAGAAAGTGAGGAAGGCTTCCAAGCATGTCGAGCAGATAAACCTTCTGAGGCAAACCAATGGAAAGGCATGGACAAGAGTTGGCCAGTAAGGATAGGAATGGCTGGGTTGTGATCTGCATCTTTGGAGAGATCATCCACACTGAGACCATCCTAGGCCCAGTTTAGTTTGGGAGAAATGATCTGTATTAGAACAAAGAAGTAAAGAAGAAGGAGGAGAAAGTCCAGACATAGAAGACAGAGAGTGAAAAGGCACAGATTTGGGAAATGGAGATGACTGCTTTCCCTCCTCACCCTCATCTCTATTTCCTGTCTTCCATGAGCTTCTCCAAAATTCAGCTCAAATCCTACCTTCTGCAAGAGGCTTTTTGGGTACTTCTCTTTCTCCCTCACATAATGCCTTCCTCTGAGATTATCTTCTGTTTATGCGTATATGTCTTGTTATTTACATGGTATTTGTTTATTAATTATTTACATGTTATTAGATTATGGGCTCCTTGAAGGAAGAGCTGTTTTTGGTGTTTTGTGTGTCCCAAACAGTTAGCAGAGTGCCTGGTATCTATTAATACTTAATAAATTGCTTGTTCACTGATTGTACCACAATTTCGGAACTGGAGATTAGAAGCCCATGTACGAGCCTGAATGACTATGTATGGGCTCCCTCTAATGGCAATCTAAGAGTTAGCAGAAATAGTCATGGAGTGCGTGTGACTAATAACATAAAGCAGCCAACATCTCATGGAATCACATTGCTAGGAAGAAGCCTACAAGGCCATGTAATACTCCTTGAAACGTAAGTCCCCTTCACTGGCGTAGGATTGTTCAACCTCTGTTTAAAGACCTCCAATCACGGACCTCACCACCGCTTTAGGCAGCTGATTCTACTTTTGGACAAATCTAATCACTAGGAAGTAATAAGATGAACCTTAAGAAAGAGGCTTGTTTTCCACCAAAGAATCAAGTAGGTAAAGGCTGAGTGACATCGCCTCCACTCCCTCTCTCCCCACGCATCTGTTGACCCCAGAACCTTCACTGTGGAGCCATATTGGGTGAGGGCAGCATCTGTTGCCTTGACCTGCCTTTGTTTCCCTCCTTCATCACAATTTACCCCTTCTAGATTGTTTCCTACTGGGGCTTTACTATCTATTTGTGACAATAGGGTGATATATACAGAGAAATCAATTTCTGGAAAAAAGTATTCAGCTACCTAATAGATATTACACTACCCTGGTAATGAGGACTTAACTTTTAAAGAATCATTGAGGCAGAATGGCATTACAGGGGAGAGGGAAGAGAAAAGTCCACTAAATTAGAATGAAGTGACAAGGGTTCCAACCTTCCTCTACCATTAATTAGCTGTTTGACCTTGGTCAGGAGATTGACCTTTCTGAAACCCAAGTTTCTCCTTTATGTAAAAGAAGACCAGATGAAATAGTATCAAAGATTTCTTCCAGCACTATATTCTGTGAACTTACATATATGGGGAATATTAAGAAGCAGAAATGGGAAGATAATGTTGTTGAAGGAGTTTCTTTACCACTTTCTAAAATCCTACCATATTAGAGAACCATTTTACTGCCCCTCAAATGATAGCTCACTTACAAACCACCTTAAATATATTATGTCACTTGGTCCTTAAAAACAACCATGTGGCCAGGGATTATTATTCTCTTTTTACAGATGAGAAAACTGAGACTCAGAGAAGTAAAGTGAGTTCCTTAATGGCACATAGCTAGTACCTGGAAAAGGAAAGGCTAGAAATCAAATCTCTTGATGTCAGCATGGTAGAATGAAAAGTATACTGGATTTGGAGTCAGGAAGATTTGGTTTAGAGTCATATCACTACAGTTTGCAAACTGTTAGTCAATCATTTGGCTTTCTGCCCTGAATTACATTTTCCTCATCTACAAAAGGTGGACCTACTAATTATCTACAAGTAAGTAGCCATTAGGGCAGCTAGGTGGCACAGTGGATAGAAAGCCAGGCTTGGAGTCAGGAAAACCTGAGTTCAAATCCAGCCTTAGACACATACTAGCTGTGTGAGCCTGAGCAAGTTACTTAACTCTGTTTGTCTCAGTTTCTTCATCTGTAAAATGAGCTGGAGAAGTAACTGGCAAAACACTCCAGTATCTTTGCCAAGAAAATCTCAACTGGGGTCATGAAGAGTCAGACATGACTGAAATGACTGAACAACAATAAGGTTATAATTGTATTACCTACCCCACAGCATTGTTATGAGGAGCAAATGAATGTACATAAAAGACCTTTGCAAATCATAAATTGTCATATAAATATCAGCTCCTAGTTTTAGTCATGAGATTAAAATAATCTCAAACTTAGACCTGGAAGTGACTTTGGAGATGAATCCTTCACTGTACAAATGAAGAAACCGAGCCCCTAGAAATGTTCTGTGGCTCAACGAAGGTTAAATAGACAGTAAGTGATGGAGCTAGAATTTGAAACTAGGATATAAGGTCAGAGATTGAGAGCTGGTGATGATCGTAAAAGCTATCTAGTCCAACTGTCTCGTTTTTTCGATGAAGACACAAAATTTCACAGAATTCTAAGTAACTTACCAAGATGATGTAGATAATAAGTGTCAGAGGTAGGATTTGAACAGCAGTCCTCTGATCCTAAAGCTTTTCCATTGACCACACTGCTTCCTCTTTACATCTAGCCATGTAACATTTTCCTTTGATATCTCATCACCAATTATTTAATTAATCGGTCAATAAGCATTTATTAAGCACCTGCTATGCTGGAAGCACTGTGACAGGCACTGGCAACAGAATGACAAAAACACCACAGTCCCTGCCCTCAAGCATGAAGGTGACTCTTTGAGAGCTCTTGGAGGCTATGCCAATGCATCCCAAACTCTGGCAGCTCTTAGGAAATTGGCAAGGCTTCAAAAATGGGCCTAATAATAAACCATGTGCCTGGTATTTATGGGCCAGCCTGGCCAAGTGCAAGTATGCTGGGCATGCATAAAGACGGCTAGAAGAAAATGATTTTTTTTTTTCAGCAATAGCTGCTTGGGAAGACAATTTGCCAAGGCCTTGCAGAGGCCGTAATATGCATCAGTGATGAACATGCCCTCAAGAATAAGATTACATATGCCTCGTAGATGATATCTACCCCATTCCACTGCCCCTTTATATCAGAGATCAATCAAGGGAAACAGTGGAGTGATGAAAAGTAAATGATTCCGCCATGTCTAATGACTTCACATAAAGACTGGAGTCCTTGGATTCCACTGATTATAATTCTCCATCCTATACATGAGAAGAATGTGCTATATATGTGTCAGACGAGAGAAAGAGTAGGAGACTGGTATTCATTTAAAGTGTCCAATGGAAATCCAATTATAAGTACAGTTAGTCAAGACCAGACCAATCACAGATTGATTACCTTGAGAGGTGTCACAGCCAAGTTCACTTCATTTTTCATCCTTCTGAGCTCTTCAATCTGAAATGGAGCCAAGACATGGATTATCTTGATTACTCTCAAAGCAACCCTGCCCTACAGAGAACCATGAAAGGTAAACTTTGGGCCAATTAAGTCCAAGTGGAATGAGGATTTTTCTTTCATCTGGAGCAAAAATAGTTGAGGGTGGGGGAATAGCTGACCAGGGGTAAAACTGGTCTGGAAGGAAGGTGGTCCCAAACCTAGCCTCTGTGAGAATTTGGAGGAAGGTAGCCCTGGGATAAAGGTGTCAGGGCAGTGGGATTGTGGGGGGTGGTGGCAACAGCCTGCGAGGGCAGGGGCTGGTAGACAGCTACATGGGATGGTGCCTGGATGTTGATTACCATAGGGAGGAAGTGTTGGCACCCGAGACAAAGACTTGTTCTCCCCATGCTAGTAATGGTTCTACTTCCAAGGGAGTAGTGCATGGTGCTCAGCTCCAGACAGCTTCTTCATGTACATCCTATAAATGGAAAATACCTGGCCCCCAGAACAGGGGCATTTGCTCCCCTAGCAGCTGGGGATAGAATTCAAAAGGCAAATCCCCTCCCTCTCTGGGTCTTAGTTTTCTAACCTATGAAATGAGAGTTCTGGACTAAGTGATTTCTAAAATGTGTCCATTCTTTACTCTAAGCCTAAGGTTCTCTATGTCCCAAGGTCTCTTCAGGCTCAAAATCTATGATATCCTCTGCTCAAAATTTCTCCAGGAAGACTAACAATCTTTAAGACAGGGCCAGAAACAACAGTACCTTTTCTCTCAGCTGGCCCTGAAGGCACCGAGTTTCACTTTGTGATGCCTGAAGTTCACTGTGTAAGGCAGCCTGATCTCTGAGCTGGGACCTCAGGGTTAATACCTGGTGGTGCAGAAGCTTACTGCTGGCCTGGGACTCTTCTGGAGCGATGTTCTCAATATCTTGGAGCTATAGAGAAGATAGAATTAAACAGTATGAATAAGTAACAATAATAATAAGGGAGGGGAGGGGATACGAACCTATTAAGAGCCTACTATGTTCCAGGCACTGGGCTAAGCACTTTATAATTATTATTTCATTTGATCCTCAACACCCCTGGAGATTGGCACTATTATTATTCCCATTTTACAGCTAAGGAAACTGAAGCAGACAGAGGTTAAGTGACCTGCTCAGAATCACATAGTATCTGAGGCTGAGTTTGAACATGGCCTAGGAATCCAATTACTTCCTGTTTTCAAATATCAAACACTATTTAATTTATAATAATACAATAATGAAAACAATCATTAACTTTTAAATCAAACATCAAATCATCACAGATTATTGTGGAGCTGGAAGGGGCTTTGGGAAATAGATCATCTAATCCAAGGGTTGGCAAATGATGGCCCATGAGTCCAATCCAGCCTGTTGTCTGTTTTTGTGTGGCCAGGAGCTTAGAATGCTTTTTTAAAATATCTTACACCATTGGACTTCTACCAGTCCAATTCCTTTGTTTTAAAGATGATGAGATTGTGGCATGGAGAAGAGGAATGTCTTGCCCAAGATCCTATAGCCTCAAACAGGCTAGTTGCAGATGTCAGAGAGGGAATTCCTACTTTAGCTATGGCTTAGACTAGTGACTTCTGAGGTTTCTTCCAACTCCAAATGAATAAGACCCTGTAGAAGCTTTGGATAACAACTCCAATTCCAAATGAAAGGATTTCAGAAGTGCTCGATATAGAAGAGGCTTTTTAGGAACAGAATTTTTTTATTAATAGGAATAATAATAGTTCATATTTTAAAAAGGTCTGGAAAATGCTTAGTGCTATCTAAAGTTTCAGTAGCTTAAGAACACAGGAAAGCTAGGTGGTGCCATAGTGCACAGAGTGCTGGGCCTGGAGTCAGGAAGACTTATCTTCTTGAGTTCAAATCTGGTCTCAGACACTTACTAACTGTGGGACTCTAGGCAAGTCACTTAACCCTGCTTGCCTCAGTTTCCTCATCTGCAAAAGGAGCTGAAGAAGGAAATGGCAAATCATTCCAGCGTCTCTGCCAAGAAAACCCCAAATGGAGTCTGAAATGACAACAAAAAAGCTTAAAATAGCATTAGAATTTTTGACACACCCTGTACATCACTTTGCAAGCCATACAACACTGATGTAGGTGGTATATTACTATCTCCATTTTACCAATGAGGAATATAAGGTTAAATCAGTTGTGCACAATCATTTGCTCATAGCTAGTCTATGTCCTAGCTGGGAACCTTTGCCCCAATCCAAGTCCACAAATCATTCATTATCAAATAGCATGATCTTTTCATTCTACTCCCCTCCCCCCACCTACAAGCAGAGGTAATTTCTAAATGTATACTTTCTCTCTAAATAGGCTACCTACCTCCAGAAGATTAATCCATCCCCCAAGGACACCTTAGTCATCATTTAGCAAATTACTTAATCCAATTCACTCTCTAAATTCCTTGAAGCTATTACCAAACCCCTTCCCAACTAGGGCAGGCTTTACTAAAGGGCCTGGAGGGAAGGAATTACAGTAAAAGAACTATCTGGCCAGAGACCCTGAGGGTCTTCACCTCCCAGTTTGATTTTTTTTTCTTTAGTAGGAAAACTAGGCCATCTTTTGCCTCCTTTCTTACCTATCCTTAAATCACTAAATGGGTGTTGCCTCAGACAAACTGAAACCTGGGAAAGACCTTAGCTTAAAAAGGCCAAGGTCTCCCATTGCATCCAGGGTCATCTCCAGTCATTCTGATCCATGTCTTGCCACTGCACTCAGAAGACCCTGGAGGAGAGAGGGAGGCTGATGGCTTTGCATGGCTCTGCCTCACCTAAATCCAGTTCACTTGCAACTTAAGATATCACCCTCCTGACGTCATTGGTCCTTTTCAAGAACAAAGGACAAACAACAGTGGTGGGCAATGAACTCCATCTTGTTGATTACCCCAGAAATGAGGACATGACAGAGAGACATGTTGAACCTAACAATCACTCCCCATTGCTTCTGATTCATTCAGTCAGAAAGGATACCTCTATAAGCCCCTTAAAATCACTACTAGTATAAGAATGCCTGAGCACAAAATTAGGACCTCATGGACAACTGTAGTGTTTTGATTACCACCACTGACACAGAGTAGGAGATTAAGAAGAAGAAAGCAGATTTGGAAAGTGTGGACCTAATGAGAACTAGTAAAATGCATTTGCCTGCAGTTCTGATCAATATGTCTTGAACTGAAATTGGAGGAGGAAGAAGAAAACTGCCCACGTGTTTATGCCTTGAAATCTCTGCAGACTTTTCCTGTGCTCCAGAGATGTCTTCGGTGGGGCTAAGTTATAGATCATACCCCATTCAGCTGCTGTGGGCCACTAGGAGCATTTCTGGTTCCTTCGAGTGATGCTAATTAGGAATTTTACAATTGAACCCCCTTTTGACTTTCTCATATCTCCTCCTAGAAGAGGCAAGTTGTCTGTGGCCCTCCTGATTCTGAGCGGGAGTGGGGGAAAGTGAGGGAAGAGGTAAATCACATCAGTGCAACAAAGGGAAATTCATAATGTGAAAGAAATTGTAAAGAATGAAGGTGACCAGAAATGTGTGAGCTGCCTCTGGAGGTAGTAAGCTCCCTGTCAGTGGAGCAGAAGCTTGATGGACATCTGTTATATGTGCCGGAGAAGAAACATACTAGGTGGTAGACCTACGTGTCTAAGAGTCTATGATTTTATGACTGAGGGCTGAAGAATTACAGGATTAGATTTAGGGCTGAAAATGGCCCTCAGAGGCCATCGAGTCAAGTGATCTTATTTTCCAGGTGAAGAAACTGAGAACCAGAGATGTAGAGTGAATTAACTAAGGCTACACAGGTAGGAAATTGTAAAGCTAAAATTTGAACCTAATCTTTGGACTCCAAATTTAGCACTTATTCCCTTGCACCAAGGTGCCTCCTTGGAAAGGATTAGAAGAAGGGAATAAGCATTTATTATGTGCCTACTTTATTTCAGGCAATGAGCTAAGCATTTTAAAAATACTGTCTTATTTGATAACGAATATAGCATTCAGGAGCCCTAACCTCCTAACCTTACAGAGAAAAAAATTGAGGCCCAAGGGGGTAAAGTAACTACCAAAGGTCTCAGAATGAGTTAGTAACAGAGAGGAGACACACAGGTGTTCTAAATTGCTGTCCAATGTGCTGTCTACTCCAGCAAGCTGTCCTAAATAAACAAACACTCAAGGAAAAGACACTTAAGAAATTATTTCTCTATTTGATAAGCCATTGAGAGCTCTGAGAGATATTCGCCTTTGTGTGAAAGATGGCAGGGCAGTAAATGAAAATTAAGAGAAATTTTAGTGGTTCCTAAGAAACTGAGAATATAATCTTCTCCTTCTCATTTTAAAATAGAACATAAAATAAGCATATGAAGAAATTTTTGTTACTTAATGAATATTACTAACAAGGAAATTCTGTTTATCCACAGTTGAAAGACATGATGCTTACAATAATGCCATCGGGCATTCAGTTCTATATCATCTAAGATTTCAATTCTCACCTGTTTTCCCTTGGTGGAACAAAAAACTCTATACCAATGTGATTTATATTTTCTTTCTTTTTTTAAAAAATAAAACTATATAATTTAGGTAGAAGGCATTATTTTAAAGCCTTCTTTCTTTAGAGACAGTTTCAGTAAGGAGCAAAAGGAAAATACATCACACACATTTTTATCATGTACAGCATGGAAATCAGGAGCTTCGATCACTTTCTAAAGGAAATTATTGGAGGATCAGAACCCATGAGAGATATTTTCATAAAAGTCTTCTGATGTGTTAGAAATGTTGTACTCAAAAGCACGTTGAATCTGGATAAAAAAGGCTGGGATTCTATCCTTGCTCTGCCAACAACTAGCTATTTGAGCTCAAGGAAATCATCATCCTTTCTGAACCTCAGTGTATCCACAGAGCAAGGAAAGTGCTCAGTAAATCTTAGCATGGGATATGAATGTGAGCTACTTTTACCATTGTTATGAACAGGTTGGATTAAATAATCTCTAATGCCCATTCTTGCTCAACATTCCATGTTAAATGGTCTAAGGTCCCTTCTACCTCTAGCATTCTATGTTATATCTACTCATGTCCCCTCCAGCTCTGACATTCCATGCTCTCTTATCTAACACCCCTTTTAACTCCAACATTCCATGTTCTATGTCATTCTGCTCTAACATTCTGTGGTTTTTATTCTAAGATTCCATACAGCATTGACATTCTCTATTTATGTTCTAAGGTCCCCTTGAACTTTGACATCCTACAAATCTCAAAACTGAAGAAAAATAGAGGCCTGGCAGATGAGCATCTGCATCATTTTTTTCCTGAACATGAGTGAAACTTCGAAATGGAAAAAGAAGAGACTGATAAATCAGAAAATGACAACTCCCTGGGTGGTCCAGATATCAGTTTGGTTTGATATGCATGCAAAGGCAGATCTACAAAGCTAGATGGAGTTTAATGTGGCACAGAGTACGTACAGGTGTTAGCCACAGAAAGGCACAGCAACTCAGAGAATAATCGTTGCCTCAATCCAGCAACTGCCGGATAAATTGATCAGGGATAACATGGGTTACAGTGGTATGGCACTATGCCCGTACCTGGATAATGAGCTCATGATGTGACTGTGTGACACATGCACAGGGACCTCTGCTTGCACCATGTACACAAATGTTCATTTGGGGAAAGATTAAAAAGATTTGTATTCAATTTCTGCCCTCATGTCCCAGCTGCCCACTTGACTACACACATTTCTAGTTAAAAAGAAAGTGTAGAACTTAACACAAGTTGCATGAAAAAAATCATTTTGCTTTGGGAGTTTTCAGTTATTTGAAATTCGTATTGTGTAGGAGTTAGTTTTACCATCTGATCCCAGGCAAAGAACAGATGGATAAAATTAATGGATTCACAAAACCAATTTGCAAACCTGTCGGTGAATTTCATAATATCGCTAACAACATCTATGTATTTCCGTGGTATTTCCAATTTCTCCACCACACCTCCCACTTGGCAAAGACTGGATAAGGCTTCCTTATGCTTTCCCAGCAGAGAGAAACTGCTGCCCCCACTTTAGAGTGGGGAGCTAGCAGAACTTTGACAGAGAGTCAGCTGTTATGTAGCAGAAAAAATACGGGATGTTGGGGACAGTGCAGAATTATTTTTTTCAGAATTATTGAACTGGGGAGTTGGAAGGGACTTTACGGGCCATCTGGTCCAACTTGGGCTTAAGCACAAATATCCCTTCAATATCAATGAATCGTGGATTTGGAGCTCGAAGGAGGCTCAGAGGCCATCTCGTCCAAGCTCCTCATTTTATAGATACCAGGAAGGTTAGGTTATGCACAATGTCACAAGTATTAAGTGTCAGAGGTGGGATTTGAATCTTTACGAGCTGACATTAAGCCATTATTCATGTCTTTTTGGTTTAGAGGGACTTGGGACCACTTAGGTGAGGTTGCCCTTTACTTTTCTTATCTTTAATTTTTTTTTTTTTGGTTAGTCAAATGTGGAGAAGTTTTATTACAAGTGTCTTATATAGGATAATGATAACATTTAATGTTTTTAGGATGCATTAAGCTTTATAAAATGTTTTCCTCAAAAGAGGCCTATGAGATAGGAATAAAAGTATTATTCTAATTTTACAGGTAAGGAAATACAGTTTGTTTCCTCCTACAGGGCCTGAGACTGACTCTAGGTTCTTGAAAGCTCCTGCCAAGTTAGAAAAACTTTGAGTATAGAACTGTTGAATATTAGAGCTACACAAGAATTTAAAGATGATCTAGTCCAACCTTATTTTATAGATTTGTTGTTGTTCAATAGTGTTAAGTCATGGCTGACTCTTGGTGACCCCCTTTGGGGTTTTCTTGGTGAAGATACTGGAGTAGTTTGTTATTTCCTTCTCCAGCTCATTTTACAGATGAGGAAACTGAGGCCAACAGTGTTAAGTGATTTGCCCAAGGTCACATAGCTAGTAAGTGTCTGAGGCCACATTTGAACTTAGGAAGATGAGTCTTCCTGACTCTAGGCCTGATACTCTATCCAATGGACCACCTAGCTGCCCTTCTAGTTCATAGAAAAACAAACTGAAACCCAGATAAGTGCAGTGGCTTGCCAAAGGTCACAAACCAGGGTTCAAATTTGGGTGTCCTGATTTCATGTCCATTGATTTTGCCACAACAGGTTACCTGTCACTGTTATTTCAAAGAGGAAGCCAGAGGAACGTGGCAAATGGGATAATACATGGGCCACCTCGTCAAAAACATATGAAGAAATAAAGACTCTTGAAATGAAATGAGTCAACCCTGCCATTCCTAAGTGGAGTCAAGTAGAAAGATCCCTGAACTTGGGTCAGAGGACCTAGTTTCATGTCTAGATTCTGCTGCTTATTTTCTGCCTCTAAATCCTATGGGCCTTTTCAGAAATGCCCAGACTTTTATCAAATAGGATAGGCTATATCCAGACTTTAGGCAAAGGACATTTGCATATATACAAACTGATATCTTTTTTTTTCTGTCATTTTAACTTTCAAATACTAGTAGGATGCACATGTACAAGATGAGGAAAACATGGTTCAATTGGCCCTCTTTATATATAGATGAGAAGTCTAATTTTATCCTTTTTGCAGGTATGCTTAAAATATGTTTGCATCTTGGGTGGGGGTGTGTGTGAATCCAGGCACAATTTCATTTGTATGGAAAACTCCCAGGGTGGAAACACTCTCCACCAATTTAAATCAACACCTCTTTTATAATTTATCTCTGAAAGCAGCACAGGGCACTTGGAGATTGTGACCTTATCTATGATTACACAGTTAGTTATAGTTAGGATTTAAATTCAGATCTTCTTTAATCCAAGAACAGCTCTATATCCATGATATCACACTGACTTTCTTTAGGATGTTTGTTAAGAACAGTATCATCAAACTATAATAATCCAAATACACAATCTAATTAGATAATCAAAAAATCATCATGGTGGAATTGCATTTTTTTCTAGGCTAGAAATTTACCCCATAATTTATCCATATACCTCATTCATTCAATTATTAATTTAGAAAATTTCATTAAATAGCTACTGGGGGCTAGGATAATGGACTAGGTGCTCAGGGAAGGACTAAAGTTTAACTGTTCAATCAATAAGCATTTATTTTGTGCCTGCTAGGTACCAGGAAATGTGCTAGGCACTGGAGATACAGACAAAAATGAAAAAGTTGCTGCCCTCAAACAACTTTAGATAAAGCACAGTCCCTGCCCCTCTTAGAGTTTACAGTTTTAAAATATATTAATAAAGCACCAACACATAATATTAAATGATATAAATTAGAAAGGTGAAAATCAAATGCTGTTTGAGGCCTTATTAAATCTCACTCTCTGAATCAAAATTGTCTCCATTCAGTGGGGTTCAGCCAGCCTAGTACCTTATAATCCACTGATTGAAGATACCAAGAGTTGCTAGCTGGGAAGGGGGAGGTGAATTGCAGTCCCAAATCCCTTCTTATGGCAGTTAACATACATTGATTAAGCACCTACTATGTGTCTACTATGGTCTAGTTCACTTCTTAGCTGAGTTATGATTTCTGGCAAACTAATTTTATCTTTTTCAAGCTCAGCTATCCTTTTCAGATTTCTCTCTTTTTCTTCTTCTAAAACATATGTTTCATTATTGCATATTTCTTAAGCTCTGTATAATTTCAAGGAAAACTTGGTTTTATGCTTTCTGCATATCAGAAATTAGTTGGTAAGCTTTGTGAATACAAAGAAATGCAAGACATAATTGCTGCTCTCAAAATACTCTTACAAAATGAAAATAACTATGCATATACAAGATTTTATACACACACACACACACATATACACAGTGTAAATTGAAAATAATGTCAAAGGGAAGGGTTTGGAGGAGAAGGAAGAGAGAATAGAAAAAAGGCAGAAGATGGGGTTTGAGCTGAAATTTGAAGGCAATCAGGGAAGCTAGGAGTAGGTGATTGAAGGTATGGAGGGAGAGAGAGAGACAGCCTGTGCAAATTGAAGGAGTTGGGAGATGGAATGTTATGTATTAGAAACCACAAATAAGCCAACGTAGGAGATCCCAGAGTGTGTGGAGAGGAGTAATTGTTAAAAAGACTGGAAGGGTAACATGGGACCAGGTTGTGAAGGACTTTAAAAGCCAAACAGAGGATTTTATATTTGACCCTACAGATGAAAGGAAGCCACTGGAGTATAGTGAGGTGAGGTAGAGGGGTTGGCCTGATTTTATCTATATTTTAGGAAGATCACTTTGGCAGTGGAGTAGAGGATGAAATAGATTTGGAAGAATCCTAAGGTAAGGAGATAAATTAGAAGTACAGGTAAAGCTTGATGAAAACTCATACCAGGCTGGTGGCTATGTAAGTGGGAAGAAGGAGACTTAGAAGTGAGAGATGACAGTATCATTAAGGCATTATTGAACAACATTACTGAACAAAGAGGATAAGTGAAAAGGAAGAGACACTTTAGTGTCTATATAAGTTAAACAGTGTATCCAATTCTAAGATATTCCAAGTCAGAAGGAAATTCTGTTCTGAAACTCAGCCTTAAAGGATGAGCATTTGCTGCCAATGATAAGATGAAGAGAAGGCAACATAAGCACTTTTAGGTTGTTTTTAGCAATGGTGGCTTTGCTATATGGAGAAATCTGCAGGGTGCCAGACTGAAAATCTCTTGCAAAAGAGAAGCTGCATGGCAAGAGATTTTTCATGCTTTTCTAAGTTAAATCTTCTTGTAAACAAAAATACACAAGAATACTAGAAAATTTTAACTTGAGAGTAGTTAAAAATCCCCAATCCTGTTCACATGAACTCTCAAGTGTCTGTTGCCACCCAACGCCATACCTGTGAAGTTTATTTTTTACATCAGAGCCAGCACACAATCCTCCACTGTGACTCCAAACCCAGTGCTTTCCCCACTTCATTATATTCACTCTAGAACCATAGAATGCTAGGTCCCAAAACAGACGTTAGAGATCATTTAACCTTCATTTAATATCCAAGGAAATAGTGGCCCAAAGAGGGGACTTATCCAAGGTCATACAGCTAGGAAATGGGAAAGCTTGGGCATAAGCTCAGGGCTTTTGACTCCTAGCTCAGACCTCTTCTTCCCACATTTAGGATAATAATTTGCAAGGATTTCATAACCCTGTGCAAATGCTAGTTATGATTATGTCATCAGAGGGAAGAACTAGGAAGCATGTGTACAGGTTTCATGGAGAGAGAGTTTGGCCCAACATACAGAAATACTTCTTAGCAATTAAGATTGTCCAACAATGAAATGGGCTGCCTTGAAAATGAGTAACTCCCCCATTTTGAGGGGGTCTTTATGCGCTGGCTGCATGGGGTACTCTTTTTTGGGGGGAGGCAATTGGGGTTAAATGACTTGCTCAGGGTCACACAGCTAGTTAAGTGCCAAAGGCTGGATTTGAACTCAGGTCCTCCTGGCTCCAAGGCAGGTCCTTTATCCATTGAGTCACTTAGCTGCGCCATGGCTACCCTTTAAAGAGGAATAAGATTTGAAAGATCTTTGAGGTCACAAGCAGCTCCAACCTTCTCTAATTCAGTGATAGTGTGATATACTTCAAAGTCCACTTACCTGGGAAGAGATGGCTAGTGATCCATGTGCTCGATTGTGGAATTCAGACAAACTCTTCCTTTTTTTCTTTTTTTCAAAATCTACCCTTTTGTCTTCTGACCCATTAGAGGGGTCTTGGATGACAGTGGAAACCTCAGGGTTCTCCTTCACTAAAAATGGCTTCAGTCTTTTATAGTCCAGGTGAAACTGATACATTTCACTGCAAAAGGGGTGTTGCTCTTGTCCTTTATCAAAAACAGATGCTTCCTCCAAAGACAATCTTTCATCTCTTGTTGGTTGGCCTGAAGGGTCAGTTACCTGAATTCCTTGATCTACCAAGTTTGCTTTGTCCAACAGCTTCTGGATGTGATCCTTTAGGTGCTCATTCTCTTCGGTTATTTGTTTGATATCCTTTGTTTCCCACGCGATCTTCCCTTCCATAACATGTATCTTGTGGAGAAGCTGTTCATTTTCTTCCTTCAGGCTTTGCATCATGTCTTGTATTCCCGGCACTAGATCTTTTCTTAGATCTTTGTAACCAAGGCTAAGGTCGGCTATCAAGGCCTTGAGCTCTTGGTTTTCTTGTGTAACCTGCTCAGTCACTTCCTGTGCTTCCCTAATGTTTTCTGCCATCACTTTCTGGATACTGTCCACCTTCTTCTTCAGTGTCATATTTTCCTCTTGCAGGTCAGAAATTTTATCATAACTTTTCCCATTGCAGTCTTCAAGGTCTGAAATTAGCTGCAAGTATTGGCCTAGTTCACTTCTCAGCTGAGTTAAATTTTCTAGCAAATTGACCTTATCTTGTTCAAGCTCAGCTATCCTTTTCAGATTTCTCTCTTTTTCTTCTTCTAAAGCATGTGTTTTATTATTGCATATTTCGTGATCTTTGCGTAATTTGGTTATTTCAAGGAAAACTTGGTTTTTCTCTGTCTGTATATCAGAAATTAGTTGGAAAAACCTATTCATGCTTTCTCGTGCTTCAGTTTTTAGGGGAAATCTGTTCAAAAACACGGCCAATTGAGAATTTAGAATAATTTCATTCAAATCAGGCAGTTTCTTAGAATGAGTTTCATATTTCCTCTCTGCAGCAAATATTGTTCTAATGTCCCTGCCCTTTTTAAGTTTAATACTCTCAACAACATCCTTCTCAGCTCTTCCTTCTAATATTTCTGAGGAATCAACATCTGTCCCACCATCTGCAGCTGCTGAGGCTGTATGAGTATCAACGTTCACCTCCACCTCTAAGGATTGCAACTGTTGGGAGTACCTCCAGTTTTCTTCTTCTAACTGCTTCATTTTCTGTCGATAACTCTCATTTTCTTCCTCCAAAGCAAAGATTTCTTGGAAATGCTTCTCTACTTCTTTCTCTAGTTCATTAATTTTAAGAAAATATCTGCTGTTCCCTATGTCTGTAGCCAATATTTCATTTTCACAAGATTCATCCTGCAATGGTGATTCTCCATTGAATTGAGAACATGTCTGTTTCTCTGAGAAAAACCTGTCCTTTTCTTTTTCAAAAGCACGTCTTTTCTGGATATTGGCCATAACTATCATTCCCTAGATCTAATGTTTTGTGATGGTATATTCCTTTCTTCTTTTCCACTTCAAACAACTTATCTTTTTCTTCCCAGCATCAATATTTTGGAGCCCTATTTGTTTTTCTTCATTTGGCTTAGAGTCTTCCCTAGGTCCTGTTACTTCCTCTTCAAGTACCTTGGCATCTTTGGCAAATATCCTGGGTTCCTTCCAGTGACTACTGTGAGATTCCCACACTCCTCTGGTGAGCTACCTTCTTGGCTCTTTTCCTGCGTTTGCTTTTGGAAAGCCCAAACATTCGACTTGCCTTTCAACTCTCCTTCCAGGAGATCCAGTCTTTCCTCTTGAGTCTCTGCCTCATGCTGTGCCACTGAAATTTGACTTTTCTGCCTTTGCTCAAGACAGAAGCTGGTTTTCTGGAACTGATTTTTTTCTTTCTCTTTGTCCACATGTTTTGAACATTTTGCCTCATTAGTTAGAATACTTGCATCACTGAAGTCCCACTCTAAGATTTCCTTTTTGTTTGCTCCATTTTGTGGAAATATATCCTGGCTCTTTAACCATTTTTCTCGCTTTTCTTCTAATTCAAGTTCTATAGCTCCTACTCTTTGGCCAAGAGTCTTTGAAGGCATTTCTGTGTCTTTTCCAGAAATACCATTTCTCAAAAGAGATTGTGAATTATCAATACTGTTCTGGGTCTCATTAGTATTCCAACATGGCTCCATGGGGACTTGGGGGACATGCATGGATTGGAGCCCATGAGTCACATGGCTCTGAGGAAGTTCTTCTTGGAAAGAATCTTCTAGAACAGTAGGACTTCCAGGAGCAGGAGGGACAACCATGGGCATTAACAAAGGAATTATGGACTTCTCCAAGAGAGGAAATGACTCTTTATTTTGTAGCTCTGGAGTTGCTCTTGAAAAGCTGAGTTGGTCAAAAGGGAACAAATGATCATCATTAAGCTGGCCTGAAGAAGGTCCACAAAAAAAGAAAAGGACTGTCTGTGGATCTGAGTGGGCACATGCGAACAGCCCTGTGAATAAAGACAACAAAAGAAAGTAAACCTTAAATTGCCATTTGTCCAATTGGCTGCATTTACTGAGGGTCTACTGGGTGCTCAGCATAGTGCTAGATACTTCCATATAAAGGAGAGTGCTGCCTACTCCTTATCTGCATATAACTTAAAACATTGAGGTCAGCAATTGTTTTGCTTTTGGGGTTTTTATTCACTTATTCATAAACGTTTGCAGAGTGGTTGGCACACGGTAAGTGCTTGAAATGAGATAGCTAGATGTTATACTGTATAGAGTGCTAGACCTGGGGCTGGGAAGATCTGAGTTCAAACATCACCTCAGATACCTGCTGTGTGACCAGGGCAAGTCATTCCTCTCAACCATTGTTTTCTTATCTGTAAAATGAGGATAATCATAGTACTTACTGACAGGTTATAAAGATCAAATGAGATAATACATATATTATATATATATATGTGTGTGTGTGTGTGTGTGTGTGTGTGTGTATACATAAAATTATGTGTGTGTGTGTGTGTGTGTGTGTGTGTGTAATTTGTTGCCGTTTAGTCATTTCAGCTGTGTCTGACTCTTCATGACTCCATTTGAGGTTTTCTTGGCAAAGATATTAAAGGGGCAATGGTTTGCCATTTTTTCTCCACTTCATTTTACAGATGAGGAAACTGAGGTGAATAGGGTTAAGTTATTTATTTGCCCAGCATCACACTGCTAGTAAATGTCTGAGGCTGGATTTGAACTCAGAAAGAAAAGTCTTCCTGATTCCAAGCCCAGTACTCTATCCATTGTGCCACCTAGCTGCAGATCTACATATACATATACATATACATATACATATACATATACATATACATATACATATACATATACATATACATATACACATATATACATATACACAGATACATAATTATATATACACACTATATATATATATTATATATATACGTATATAATCATATAAACATACGTGTATGGAAAATGCTTTATTAACCTTGATGTACTATTTAAATCTTAGTTATTATCATTATTATTATTGATGGATGATTAGATTGACTGATAACCATCTGGTTGGAGAGATAAGAATTCACTAGTAGGTTCCATATGGTAGAGTGAAAATATGCTTCAGGATAAGTATGATATAGGAAAGATCATCCAGGCTTGTCTATCGCCACTTAGAGTCAGTCATTGGCCTAGAGAACAATGAAAGACGGCAGGCAGTGGGGGAGGTCTCCAACTGAAGAGAATTTAAGGAAACAGGAGGGCAGGGCCAGGAAGATACCAGGTCAGGAATAAAAACACGCATGCCCCTGCAAACAGCTTACTGTGGCAAATGGAGAGAATTCTTCTTTCAGATTCAGTGTTCTGTTGCTCATCCCAGATCACAGTAACGAAATCACTGCAAATTTCACAGGGACTTAATTTGCTATTCAGCCTCTTGCATTCCGTTTTTAATTCACCCACAGGGTAGGAAGAAGGCACAAAGCTGTATTTGCTCTCTAAGAAATGTTGGCGGGTTCACTACTCTCAAGCCATAGCCCGACCTGAGCTCCTCTACCCAATATGGATTGCAAATAGCCACCAGAACATAGAGGCTACATTTTCATGTGTTCACGAACAAGATACACAACCAGTAACTGAACAATATAAGGACTGAACAGAAATAAAAATAAAATAAAAATCACCAGGTAGTATGCAAGTAAGCACCACACAGTTAGCAGAGGCCTGATGAACTTTTAGATTTCACACACGTGATGAGGGAAGGTTTCTTTAACATAGACAACAAGGCCAGTCTGTAGCCTATTGTCTGAGATCTATAACAGCAATAGCCCAGATTTCCACAGGGCTCTCTAGGTGAGACTACCTTTTCCACAATACCTTGTGAGATTGGTTATATTATGGTTATTGCTGTTGCGGTTGTTGTTGCTCCCATTTCACAGATGAGGAAACAGGCTCAGAACCCAAGGTTATACATTTAGTTTGAGGCAGAGGTGAGTTTGAATTCAGGTCTCTTTATCTAAGCCCAACTTTTTCAGTAAAAATTCACCTACCTCTAAGACTCAAAGTGTCCCTCCTCTATCTAATCTATCTTCCCCATAGCTGCTGAACTGACATTTCTAAAGCACAAATCTACCACATCCCTTGTTCAATAAGCCTCAACAACTCCCTAGCTTTGTTTGGCATTTTAATCTCTTCATCACCTGGGCTCCAAACTCTCTTTCCAAATATTTTACATTATTTCCTGCTCATGTACATTCTCTAGTCAAACTGACTCCTTCCCCCTATCTAACATTCCAAATCCTATCTCCATTCCTTAATACAAGCTGTTCCTCATGCCTAGAATGCTCTCCCTCTTCACCTCTTCCACTCATAATTCCTTCAAGGTTCAGCTAAGGGCCCACCTTTCTAGCAAGGCCTTTTCTGATTCCTCCCGTTATTGGTGTTCTTCATAACCCCAGAAGTGACTCTGTGTACATACTTTTACTTGGCCATGCACTTGTAACCATCCAGAATAATGTAAGTTCCTTGAGGGAAGACAGTTTTGTATTTGTATCTTAAGAGGTTAGTACAGTCCTTGGCACATCATAGATGCTTAATAAATATTTCTAGAGTTAAATAGAATTTCAGCTGCAAAACATAGATTGAACAAATACCATGTAACTTATTAATGGGAGAGATCCTCTGATCGTCACCTTAAGGCAATGAATTCTTAAACACCAATTAAACAAGTTTGATTTTAACAAATCACTTTGGTTTGCTGGAGCTCAATGTTCTCAAACATAAAATAAAGGAGTTTGACTATGTGATCTCAAGGTCATTTTTATCTCTAATATTTTATAATTCCATGTTGTTCAGTCAGAAGTCTAGCAAAAAGCCTCATTCATTTGACCTCCTTGATTGGGAACATGTTCTCATTAGATGAAAGGAGGCATAGCAGAGTGGGCAGAGATCCACTGACACAAAATACAGACGTGCAAATCACTTCATGTTTTAGTGCTCTAGGCAACTCGATAAGAATAAAAATGGCAGAGATTAAAATCATTAATTGGAATTGATTGAGGACTGTTCCTCATCTAGGAGCTTCCTGGATCACTAAAATTACAGTCCAGTCTCTATCATTAGATATAACATCCAAAACCTAATTTTTAAAAAATTGTCATTTTCTTTGTGACTTTTGAGTCTCTTATTCCTGAAACCAACACTGACAATTTTTTTTAATATAGCACAGATTGTTTCAATAAAAAAAAACACACACACACATTACAGAAACATACTATGTTATTTGAATCATAATTTTTTTGTAGGAGCATATTTCTGTATTGTGTGGGAAGCATTAGTCAGTGACAATTTTCAAAAAAAATAAAGATATATAAATATTCAATTCAATTAAGCAACTTTTAAGTAAGCACCTATTATATTCAGTGTACTGTGCTAGGTAATAGGAGGAAATACAAAGTTTGTATCAGCCTAGGTCCCTGACTGCGTGGAGGTCACAGTCAGGCAAGGCTAAGGGAGGACACAAGACATAAACTAGAGTGTACAGGTAATACCTGAGAAGTACCCTAGAGAAGAAAAGGTCTTACTGAGACAGTCCTTAAAGGCTTGGAGAATCAGGTAAGACTTTCTAGCGGAGATGGCATTTGATTTTGGGCTTTAAGGCTGGGTAAGAATTAATTGACATTCAATAGGCGAAGAAGGTCAAGGACCACATTCCATACATAAGAAATTATCCATGTTGGTCACAGAGTAGAGTCAAGAAGATGATCAATTTGCCATAAGGCTAGAAAGGTTCTTTACATTACAGTGGGAGAATATAGGTGAAAGGCAAACAACTGTGCACGGGAGGCAGATGTTTACAGCAATCAGTGGTATCCTTGGTATATCTAAGGGGCAGCAAGACGTAATCTCTGAAATGGTTGAAAAGTCTGAGATACAGTTTCTGGGTAATTATTAATCAATCTATTAATTATGCTATCAGATAATCAATAAATTAAGGTCAATGGTCTCTCTTGTAACTAAAGACCTTGCAAGGAGGTTTCTAAATGTTTAAATACTTTTGGAAAAGTGGGTGTCCCTGAGGTTGAAAATCATCTCTGATTGGTTAACAATGAGAGAATGAATATTATAATTAAGGTGGACTTTTTCTAATGAGGAGTTGACATGACTTTGATCATGTCAGCCCTCTCTCAGATTATTCTGCCTTTAGCAATCTTTACAAAAGAATCTGTTGGGGGGGGGGGGGGAAGCTGAGCCAAGATGGCGGAGTAAAAGCAGTGACTTGCTTGAGCTCTCCCCCAAACCCTTCCAAATACCTATAAAAAATGGCTCTAAACAAATTCTAAAGCAGCAGAACCCACGACAGAGTGAAGCAAATTTCCAGCCCAAGAGAACCTGGATTGTTGATTGGAAAGGTATATCGCGCCAAGCTGGTAGAGGAGTGCAGTGCAGCAAGGGTGCACAGGCCACAGAGAACCTGGAGCCGGCCTCAGAGGACTGCTGTGGCAGTTTCCAGACTTCTCAACCCACGAACACCAAAGACAACTTAGAAGGTCAGTGGGAAAAGTCTGATTCTTCAGTGCTGAAGCGAGGTGGTCTCAGCTCCATTCTCTGAACTCAGCCCCAGGGCGGGGGGCTGCCTCCTGAGCTTCTGGCCCACAGACTGAGGGGGAATTGAATGGCTGATCTGAGGGAGATTGCAGGGATCTGTTTTCAGTGCTGATGCAGGAATCTCTTGCTTTGCCCATGCTTGGATCTGGGCCACAGTTCTGGGTGGCAATCCTGGGGCGAGAAGGAGCTCTCACGTGGTACAGCTTGCAGTGGCTGTGGAGAGAAAACTCTCCTCACAGTTGCAGGACAGAAAGGAGTGTTTGTGGTCACTAATAGACCAGACCACAGGCAAAGAAAGGAGTAAACACCTTGCCCCTTATCATACCACCTTGGAAGAACTGAAAATTTACAGGTCCCTACAAGTATCTCTGAAAACAGCTGTACAAACCCCTGAAGCTTGGGATAGTACATCGTCCACATTAGAAGCAGACTCTAACCTTAACAAAGAGTTTAAAACTCAAGTAATTGGCTGGGATCATGAGCAAGCAGCACAAAAAGAGTCAAACTATATTATCTCACTTTGGTAACAAAGAAGATCAAAACAGTCAACCAGAAGAAGACAACAAAGTCAAAGCTCCTACATCCAAAGCCTCCAAGAAAAATATGACTCAGTCCCAGACCTTGCAAGAGCTCAAAAGGGATCTTGAGAAGCAAGTAAGAGAAGTAGAGAAAAAACTGGGAAGAGAAATGAGAGTGATGCAAGAAAATCATGAAAAACAAGTCAACAGCTTGCTAAAGGAGACCCAAAAAAATACTGAAGAAAATAACACCTTAAAAAATGGCCTAACCCAAATGGCAAAAGAGGTCCAAAAAGCCAATGAGGAGAAGAATGCCCTAAAAAGAAAAATTGGCCAAATGGAAAAGGAAGTCCAAAAGATTACTGAAGAAAATACTTCCTTAAAAATTAGAATAGAAGCAATTGGAAGCTAGTGACTTTATGAGAAATCAAGACACTGTAAAACAAATCCAAAAGAATGAAAAAATAGAAGACAATGTGAAATATCTCATTGGAAAAACAACTGACCTGGAAAATAGATCCAGGAGAGAGAATTTAAAAATTATTGGACTATCTGAAAGCCATGATCAAAAAAAGAGCCTAGACATCATCTTTCAAAAAATTATCAAGGAAAACTGCCCTGATATAGTAGAACCAGAGGGCAAAATAGAAATTGAAAGAATCAGATCTCCTCCTGAAAGAGATCCCCAAAGGAAAACCTAGGAATATTGTAGCCAAATTCCAGAGTTCCCAGGTCAAGGAGAAAATTTCAAGCAGCCAGAAGAAACAATTCAAGTACTGTGGAAACACAATCAGGATAACACAAGATTTAGCAGCTTCTACATTAAAGGACCGCAGGGCATGGAATATAATATTCCAGACGGCAAAGGAGATAGGACTACAACCAAGAATCACCTTAGGTACCCAGCAAAACTGAGTATAATCCTTCAGGGGAAAAAATGGTCATTCAGTGAAATAGAGGACTTTCAAGCATTCCTGATGAAAAGACCAGAGCTGAATAGAAAATTTGACTTTCAAATACAAGACTCAGGTGGAACATGAAGAGGTAAACAGGAAAGAGAAATCATAAGAGACTTATTAATGTTGAACTTATAACTCATGAGACCTTTGTCAGTATTAGCGTAATTGGAGGGAAAAAAATATATGTATGTAGATAGATAGATAAATAGATAGATAGATAGATAGATAGATAGATAGATAGATGATAGATATAGATGATGGATGATGGATAATTGATAGATAGAGGGAGATGAGGAATTAAAGGAAGAAGAAGGTGAGAGGTAGAATGGGGTAAATTATTTCACAAAAAAAAAAAAAACAGAAAAGAAAAGGCTTTTACAGTGGAGGGGAAACAGGGGAAGGTGAGAGGGAAGGAGTCAATCTTATTCTCATAGAATTTGGCTTAAGGAGGGAATAACATACACATACA